GTTAATGACAGTTACCATCACACATGTAGATTAGGAAGTTTAAGGTCATCTCCTTAGAGTCCTGCTTAATGTCACCTGTCCCTTTAAGAAAACAATAGCAACACCCATCCCCTCCTGAAAAAAAGAGTAAGAAATTCTTAGGTAAAAAATATATACTGTTTCCATAATAAAGATAAATTTCCATACATTTGCATATATTTTTATCTCTCTGGGTCGCTTTAACCACAACTTCAGTGGCACAGAACACTGGAGCACACATTAGGATGTTTTGCAAGACCTTTCCAGAAACTCCTGCCTACTAGATCAGCCTTGTGCACAGGAAATAGTCATTTCATACTTCACTCTCACATGGTAAATGTAGAAAGAAAAACCCTGATGAACAAATGCAGACACTGTGGATGACAAGCAATAGCTACAAACTGTGAAAGAAAAAAATGAACATTGCTAGGCTAAGCAAGGAAGAGGAACTATTATTTTACACTCAAAGAGGGAAAAACTAAGATAGTGTAAAGATACAAGCACAGATAGCACTTTAGACATCTCCCTCCTTGCCTTCTCTTTCACTGCTAAACATCTTCTATTACCATTAAAAGAAACTGAGCTACCAGCTTTCTTCTGTTTGGAGAAAATATATGGCAAAAGACCGCATCTCTGAAAGCTTTCTTCACATAAAGACACTTTGATAGCTTCATTTATTTAGAGCTGCTAACTACAGTGTTCAACTTAATTTGCTATCCTGCTGAGGACAGATTTGTGACCAGTAAATCTACCAGTTACTCTACAGATAAATCTAGAAAGATCCTTTCCCAGCATCAAGAGAAAAGCAACGTGCTAAGAATAGGAAGAAAGATGTTTTTGCTTCTTATGACTCCCCATGATAGAAGCTTAAGGCAGCCCCATGAGTAACAGAAGGTTGTGTATTGGTATGCAAGAAGGTGAATGATAATCTCTTTGGGCAGATGTACTGTAGTCTTTATCTCCATTGACTGGAAGCTGGTGGTCAGCTTGCTGTTTCGCAACTTACTAGGAAAAAAATCATTTTAGTTCCATTTAGATGTTAGAAAATACCAAAGAAAAGTCATATTACTATCAACATGAGCATCATTTGCTTATCAGTGATCATCTTAAAGCAGGCTGAGGTATTTTCCTCATAATTATGCTGAATTGTTCAATAACTACCAAGCTTTTTTCATACCCTTATCTCCCTTGTCACAATAAACAGTATTTAAGTACATAAATCCTTTTAAGAATGCACAGTCTAAAAAAGTATCAGAAGAAAGCAGAGGTAATGGCGTCAAGCAGTCCTGAGAGATCTACTGACTGATAACTCGTGTAAATGTAGGCACATGATACTTTTTCCTGTTCTAACTGATAAGGGGTTCTAGGACTTCACAAATGTGATAACAACAGCATAACAGCAAAGATTCTTGAAGGCCCCAGAAAAACCTGGAGATATTTTTCGAGTGCAGAACTAGTCTAGGATTATGTCCATGAAAGGCAATGAAGAACTGCATTCATGTATCACTGCTTCAGTGTTGTGCTCAGATTAAAACTCCTCCATGGTCTCTGCAGAACAGCAGATCATCAGGTTCCGTGTTTTGGAGGAGAGAGGTGTCACAGAAAATAGACGAGTTTGCTTTCAGCCTGAGCAGTAAGTTTGACTTTAATGGAAAGTTAGTCTGAGTTAGGGAGTGCAGCTCAGTGCCTAAAGGTATTCATGGATGACTCAGTTAATCTACTATCTCATCTGTGTTTATGGCAAATAAATGGATAAAGAAATAACATAAAGAACAGGAAAGCAAAAGTGATGGTTTCCAGCTTGTCTTTAGTGCATTTGACTGATTTTGTAGAATCTAATTTAGTTGCAACTGGAAGAGCTTGTGTATCCCATTCCCAGATGGTGTTACTGTTCAAAAATGTCTCAAATTCCTTTACATTCTTAAAGGAAGAAAAATTTTATAATGTCATAGTTAATTTGGAAATTATTTTGTCTCAGCAAGCTGCCAAGACGAAAAATATAAAACTTCAGTAAAAGGTAGGCAATAGATGCCTGAAATGAAATATTCCTCTTCTTTCTTCTATTTTACAAGAAAAACTGAGACACTTAATCATTCTCTCAGTTTTTATGTCATTTGTCTTTCAGGCCAAAGATTTCAAGGCTTGGTAATATTTCCTTGTAGGGAAACCTTTCCATTCTTCCAATAACTTTCACCACCATCTCATTCAAATTTCTGGTCTTACTAGGCAATATTGCTATTGCAGGACAAGAGTATGATACAACATTTCATTTTTTAAAAGTTTTTCTTTCCATTTTATCCTTGCAGATCAGGAGGCTGAGAGACAAGTCTTGATTAGGCCAAATTCAAAAGTAGAAAAAGGACCAGAAGAATACAAGTTTCCTCATTTTTGCAATCAAAGGAAACATCTTTAATTGTATTTAAACAGTATATCAGTGATTATTCTAGATATGTGCAGCAATGCACTCAGATGACCAGTAACAAGTTGAATTTAACCCATTTGTAAGCACTTATCCTGGGTGAATGGATATTTTGGCTTCCACTTTTGCCCTTCCCATGTTTTGGTAGTATATTTGCAATGCATTATTGAGTTTCAGTAGAATTATTTTAATCACCTTTTAAACAATATATAATTATTGTTGACAGCAAACCAACTAGAAGAAACACTTCTAGATTAATTAACAGTGACCTATAATTAAACTCTGCAGTACTTAGAGATGGAGTGGTCCCTAGATAATATTTCTTTAGTTTTAATGAGTGTTTATCATTCTTGTTTGCATCCCCTGTGGCAGTTATCAAGGTTAGTTACAAAATTTCTTAATTAAATGGAACTACATAGAAGGTACAGTCTTAGCAGAAAACAGCTTGAAATATTCATTATTTAAGCATAATCTCAAAGTGTTCAAACTCCTGCCCTATAAATTTTTAATCATAGTTTGCCTATAGAACTTAATCTTTTCCTTAAGTCATATCTTGACAGCAAAAACAGTGCCATATTTTAGGATTTTTCTTGTTCCTTTATCTCTGAAAAATAAGAATGTGTTATTAAATGTCTGCTTTCTCCAACATGTGAATGGCTCAGAAATACACTTTTATATGAAAGCTTTGATATAGGATTTCTGATTCCTGGCCCAGGCTTCACTAAGCAGTTTCTAGAGTAATTAAGTAAATCTCTTTATTGCACATTTTCAAAATGCGGTCTGACAAATTAGAATCCTAATGGAATTAAAGGATCACATTGCTACCAAATTCCATATGGAGTTTGGTACCCAGAGTTCTCTGAGGAAATAATCTTCCTTTCACCAATTCCACATTCTCAGATGACACCAGAAATGGCAGATTCCACCACCCTGAGAAAAATTCTCTTTCCTTCCAGTTGTTGCAGATTGAAAGCTGAAGTAACTAAAAATAAGATAACATATGGGGGGAGCTTCATCTTCCAAATAAAAAGCTGTTGTAAATATTTGCTAAAGATTACCTGGTTCACACAGGTACTACTTCTATGATTTCACTATATCCAATATAGTAAATATATACAATATGTAAAACATGTAAAGACAAATATTGGTACTGCTAAAGAATGATCCTTATATAATAATACATTTTTCTTCAGTAGAAATTCTAATCATCTCCACTGTTGCTTTGAATTGTGCTGCTGGCAAGGTATTCTTAATTTGTTTTGTTGGATTGATAAAGCAATGTGCATGAAAGTTTGTACACTAAAAAAAAAAAAGCAAATCTTGTGTGAACCCAGCCCAGTCTGCACAGTAGCTGGTCTGAGTAGTTAAAATCAGGCTATCTTGGAATGGGAGGGAGGTTATAATTGTTTAAATCCTAAGTAAAAATAGAATACTGATTGGGTTCAAATGAAGGTTGCTCTTAAAGTAACTTGTGCTTACAGATTCTTGATGCCAGAGATACTTCTGATGTTAAAGCCCTTTGAAAAATATTTTAAGGGGAAGAGACCACTAGAAATGCCTACCTGGGAGCATTTTCAGGTGTAATGAAACAGTAGGAAAGGTATTGGAAAATGCTAAGTATGGAACACTTAACACTTGCCAGAATGTAACTGGAATAGATATCTGTGAAACTGGAGCAGAGCTGTTTGAACAGTGTATTCAGCCACTGCCAATTCTTGGCCTAGTTAGAGCTGTGTGCTTGAAACAGCATTTCCCACCACTTTCTCTTCTCCTCCCACCATGCAGCACTTTCCCTGTCCCAGTCACAGTTTGGCATCAGATTGTTCCAGCCCTGAACACTGCTGCAAATTGCTGCTGAGTCATCACTTCACCCCTGTCACAGAACATCATCGTCACTGCTCCGGCAGAAATATTGCAACAGCAACCCTGTGGTACAAAGGAGAGAGGATTGCAAGACATGGTCAGCGGAAGAGCTGAGCTTTGAATGTTCTTTCAGGAAAAAGCTATCCTAAGGAAGTTCCCTGGAGTTTGTGGTCACTGGTTTGGAAACAGAACAATTATCTCTCCCCATGCTGGCATGCCATACCTCCAGAAAGCTCAAAAGAACAACACTCCAAGCAATGGGAACTAGAAGAGACTTCCGTTGTTTATCATGGTGCTGTTGAAGTCTCCTGGGGTTGACAGATGCTGCTCCAGAAGGTTAATAAGATGAAGAAAGCTCTTCCAGCTGGACCGTAAGAGGGATTATGTCTGAGCAGCAGATAAACAGATTATTCCAGAAACAGACACTGCTTTTTTTTAAAACTTCGTCACTCTTGTCTTACCACTCCAGTTCCCCAGGCTAGAAGTGTGAGCATTGGAGGGGTTCACCCAGCTCTTGCACTCTGGCACCTGTTGCACTCCACCAGTTGCAATTCAATGCAGTTCAAGGTTGGAGACACCTGAAAAAGAGAGACATTTGGGGATTTTAGATCTCTAAAAAAACAGAACTCTTCTACTTTACCAAAATATTCTTGTTTCCTGCATGACTGGTCTTGAAAACTGTGAATGATCAATAGACAGCATGCATTTGAAAACTGGATTAATATTTTTGATCATTTGCCTTGCTCTCCAAGTTCAGGGAAGCAGAGGTAAGTTCATCTTAATCTATAAGGTTTAGATGAATTTTGCATTGCATATATTGAGAAATAAAATATTTGCAAGATCAAGGGCTTTCATATTACAGAATGTTTAATTAGAATGTGGTGTTTTGACAATTCTACTAGACACACTGTGGTTACTGCTATAAAGCTGAAAAGGGAAATACTGGCATTATTTCTTATGTGTGTTTTGCAGGTTTTACAATGTCTATAAGAGATGCAATTTAGCTTCATTTTACCTGAACATATTCTGTTATGAAAAAACATATCTGTGAGACAAATATATGGAAAGTTAAAAATGGCTGAAAGATCATCTAAGGGATGACATGATTAAAGATGGTCTTTCATCACTGAAATTAAGAGAAAATAGCAAACTATATATCTATTTACTAGGGAAGACAGTTATTCCGATTATTAAAAACAAATAGACATATTCTGGAAGAATACACCATACTGGCAAATATACAAAAATGGCAATACCACTAAGGATTACTGCAATAATAACTACAAAATTATTTGCAAGAAAAGAGAAACACAGGAAACTGTTCTGTACTTAGTACATAAGCTGACTATTGCTCTATTTTAAAACATTTAGAAGTTCACAACATTTATAAAGCTACTTCAACAACAAAAAAGAAAAGATGATGACGTAATTTTCTCTGGTTAGTCCCATATTCAAAAGATTTAGAGCTTTGGAGAATGCATTTAATTCTGGAGGAGGTTTCTCATTAAATTTTCTATCTATGCTTTGATATTTGCATAATTGAATTAAAAGCTAACATTACAACTGCTATGTGTGCTCAAGTCAACGACCTTCTATTTTTATGTCAGGCCTGCTAATTAAATGCAAAGAATGTAAAATTATAAAAGATAAGCCTCTTCAATGTTATCTAAATATTTGTTAGGGAGATAGTATGGAATATAGCCTACTGTCAATACTATCTGGAAAGTTTTATTTACACATTTGCATTTTTTAAAGAAGCTCCTGCTTTTCTTAAAGAAAGAAGTTCTTGCATCTCAGTTAAATCATGCAAATCTTCTCTAGTGGACAAAGTACTGAAAAAATCATTGAGAAAATATATAGCTAGCACTAGAATTATGTTTCGTGGCTCTTTGATTTTACTTTTAGATTCTATGCAAATAGTTTCATTTAATCACTAATGATATTTTGGAAATGTGGCAAAATATGAGAGACTGACTATATTTCATGTCTGACAAGAAAACAAGTCTTATCAAGATGTGTTGTCTTTGCATTTAAGTTGCATATTATGTGATGGAAAGAGAAATCCATGCATGTTTGATGGCATCATTGCAGACCCTATTTATAACTACAACTTAGAAAGCAATAGTGGGAAAAGTGGCATGACATAGTTTCACCAAGTGCAAATTGTGATTGTATATTACAAAATACTCTCCATAAAAGACGAGAAAAATAATGGGGGACTATCTTGACAGAGAGGAATACTAAATAACTAGAAATATTCCTTGCCACCAGTTCAATAAAGTGCATGCGGTATGCATAAATGTATATTTTTTTTTTTACATTTAGTTATGCCATACATAATATTTTTAAACTATTTGATCCCAAATATATGAACACAGATCTCAAAACACATAACGCTTGTGTTAAGAAACTTCTTTTTCAAAGAAGTTCCAGAGATATTTCCAGAGCTCTTATTTTATTACTTAGCATTAGGGTCAGATACTTACAGAAAATATTTTTTAAAAGTATATAGTCTCTCCCAGCAGTCTGAATATTTGCATGAATCACTCATTGGGGCTCCTAGGTGTTTTGAGACCTTTGAGGTCATTCAAATTTGCAGTACATGTAAACTGTGATAGGAAATATGGAAATAAGATACTAAGATACTAGGAAATAAGATACTAAGATATAAAACATCCCCATCTTAAACAGAAAAAAATTAGAGATAATTTCTAAATATTTAAAGGGTTAGTCATCTGATTTTTTTCCTCATGAAAAACTAAAATTCAAATTCATTCTTTTCTCACATTTATATTTAACAAAGGTAGGTTAACAAATATGGAGCTTGCTTAATAATATTTTTTGGTCCTTCCTCCCTGTCCCTGGGAGAAGGACACAGGGTCCTTCTCCCAGTCATTTGGAGGCTCTCCAGGAGCACCTCCAATTCCACAGTAAACAAACAGGAAACCGTAGAGAGCAAAATAAGAGTACGGTGTTTAACTTTTGCCATAATTTTACTACTGTCCTGACAAAAATTGTTTCTAGCACTGGAAAGGGAAAGTGAAAGGAATAAAACCTTTTTGACAGCAAAAGATCTGTGCACACAATCGGAGTAGTAAACTACTGAATGGCCAGATTAAATACCAAAATGCAGAGGAGCCCTGAACTCTCAAAACTATCCCTTGATGCTGGGTACATCTTAGCACAAAATAGTGAGAATGCCGTGGGGAAGAGTGTATTCAAGGCTATTTTGTGGCTTTTTTTATTCAGCAAGCAAATATCTGTTATTTACTCAGCCAGTCCTTAGGACACAAAGGCTTTGTGTGTGCTCTATGAAATCATTTTAATTCATTCTGACTCACCCCTTCCCGCTAGGCTGTTCTAATTCCACAATAAATGTTTCAGATCTTCATTACTATAATTGCCCTTAAAAAATAATAATAAAAAAAAAAAGTTTAAGCAAATTTGTGCCAAAGGAAAAAGAAAATCAAGGAATATAAAGCTTCAAACAAAGAAAGAAAACAATATATATTTGCTTTTTTGCACTAGGATTATCTTCTACTCTCATCCATAAAATAAGAATTACCATGTTAAATTTGGCTTTCCTGGTTGGGCTTATAAACTTATGAAAAGTAAGACTTTTCCTTTTTTCTCTCCTTTCTCAAACAAATGTAACACTGCACTATATATGGGATTTGATCTTTTCTGTTTTCTGGCTAAAAGCCAAACTTTAATATAAATACTAGACCATTGTCACTGAATCCTAAAGATTAATTCCAGGAATAGTCACACCTATGCCATAGGGATTAGTGAACTGTATGTGAATGAACAGCAAGATATATGGGATTTTTCTCAGAAAACACCCATGGACAAGATGGTCAATATTAATGATCCAAGGTTTTCTCCTTCTACAGGACATCAGCTTACAGGCTACAATAAAATAACTGGGAGTCTTAAACAACTAGAAATTCAGACTGTCCATGTTCATTTCTCAGCTAATTTTGGAGCCTCTGGGGTTTAAGCAGTGCGCTAAGTGACATGGGCAACAGCCATCACAAAATAAACATGATTTTCTTTCCAGAATACAGTTTTTCTTTGCCAGAGGAAAATTCTGTATGCATTCTGTTGTGTTTAAATGCTTGGAAATATTTTTAAATGTTTTCATTCTTTTTTTACGTCTGTCCAGCCTAGTCCCTTTGGGATTAAAATTAGTCTTCTGATCATTCTCTGTCACATAATTATTTCATGTTAATCAGGAATTAGGTGCACTATTGTACACTCCATGAGCTTTGTACTTTGTAAACCCAACTGTGTTTCAATTTCTTCCCCTTCAGAATGTGTGATATTGAACAACACACTTCTTAAAAAGAAAGATATCTATGTGCATTCCTATACATGTCTGTTGGCATTTAGTCACTGTCAGCTGCTACTTACCTGACAGAGACTTCAGAACAGTAACCTGTCTGAAAAAGATAAGGTTAACAACCATCTGGAAGTACCCTGACGCCTTTCACAGAGTAGGTGTGTTTATATATCCTTACATAATTGTAGTATGCTTTATCATTGTATGCAAGCATCATTTTCCCCCTCACCTGTTCTGACAGAGTAACACTGTTGTCCTCATTTCACAAAAGCATGAGGGCCTGAGGTGTGACGCACAAACTGAAGTCCTGGCTGGTAAGAGCATTGCATCCATAAAGCAGGACAGCAGCAAGGGTTGCTGGGCTGATTCTGGTTACACAGACCTCTGAAAATCAGTAGGACCCAGGCTCACAGCTACATCATTAATTGTACTTAGGCCACCATGCTTATCTTTCCATTGGTGAGGTTCTACTGGCTTCTAGAGTTCTGCTTCTTCCTGGCCACTCAAATTTCCAATACCTCCCTCAGACTTTACCCAAATTTATATTGACAATCTTGGTGCTCCTGTTACCTGAAATACTGGCTTTAATGGCTGTGTTGCAGATAAACCTTTCATACACGTGACTCATCACAGATCATAGAAACCAAGCAGTTTCAGGCAGGAAACAGCAATGCACTCCTCTTTAATTTTGTGATCTCATGGTGATGGCACAAAATGAAGACATTTCTATTCAAGTTCTTGTCCCTTTCCCCTTATCCATCAAAACTAGATGAATAAGTCATCTTACTCACATCAAGAATTGGATTAGGTGTCCTCCAAACCAAACTTGGTCTATGCAGTTTGATACTAAGTTGAGTAAGGTTAAGTGCAAGTCATGCTCTGTCAAAATGATGTGGAGATTGTAGATTGTACTGCAGAATGAGTGACTCCAATCTGTGAGGAAAATCGACCAGTTTTAATTACACAAGCTGAAGTAAAGAGATGACACTGGGGCTTCTGGCACCTTTTCATACACTAGACAACCTAATTGTTATCATATGTGAATAGGATAATACATTTATTGAGTTACCTCAATAAACTCATTCTGCACTGCAACTCTTTGACTCCTACCATCAAAGTTGTTGAAATGTTGACATATGTGGCAAAGCATCACTGGAACTTAAACTTATGCTGTCTCATTGACTTTCTCAGAGAAGGCTGTACCTCTTGAGAATGACTAATCAGAAAAGTAAGAGCAGAGGTGCTCATCTGAGTGTTTTATCTCTGCCAGTTGGATGCATCCCTCCAAGAACTACTTAAACATTTAAAGCATTTTCTTGCATCCTTTGATATCATATCCATAGCAATTAATAGAACCTCCTTTCAGGTCAAATGCTTCTAAGATGGCCAAAGAAATCTAAATAGATACATGTTTCATACATGAGC